CTATGAGCCAAAAATTGTGCAAAGGATTATATTTTATTAAAGATACCTGAATAGAAAGTAACCGCTACTTTATAAGCAGATAGGACATTTTAATGCGAGTCGTATAAGCACCACCACCCCAAAGTACTATTTCTCCAAGAAGACACAAGAGTGAGTGGGTTTCAGAAATTGATGCCACACAAGTACGAGTTTGTTACTTTGTGAAAAATGGGGTCATTATGAGAAAATGGCTGGTAATGAGTAGTCAGTGTGCAATCAAATTATTATTCATACGTCGTATAAACAGGAAATTCATAGTCTAGCCCATAAAACTCCTTAAACTTGTCATTTTTGTGTCAGTAAGACTTATCACAAGATCCTGAAACATTTTATTTGCTGAAAATTAAAAATGATGTTTATAAGAACCAAAGATTTTGTTACACTTGTCAAATCCCAGTAGGAAGATATGTAAGGCACATCAACATTGGACCGTTTGACAAGCCATTTAGCAGAAATATGGTAGACTGTCGGTTCCTTACCTAATATCGAGTCAATCAACCAATACTTTTTGACCATAATGTGTGCGTCCTCAAAATCTCCATAGACTATTCCCTTGAAGAGTATTAAAGCAAAAACAGTTATAATAGTTGAGGCAATGTTTTTTAACACTTGTTTACCTCATCAAATCTGTCCAGCAATTTTATCTTTAATTATTTCCAAGAACTTAAGCATGAACTAGACATACAGCAGTTTAATTTTTCTGCCTATCACCCTGAAAGTCATGCAGCTAACACAAAACTGTCCGAAAATACTCTCACCTACCCAGGATACATGTATACAATTTATACTGAATCAAGCCTTTAAAAGACAGTGATCAGTAAAATTCTGATTGACGTCAGTAAAATTCTGCATTGTATAATTATCCAGTAAGATCAGGAGAGTGTTTCCCCGTGTTGGTAATTATCTCCAAATGACTACTACAAAACAGCGAAACACTCTCAGCTACCCATGGTACGTGTAGGCAATTAAATAAAATCAAACACATAAGAAGACATTGCTTAGTAAATTTCTACCTGTAAAATTATCGAGTATAATTAGTAGTAGAGTTAACGCTCTTGTTGATTTTTGCTGAAGGAAAGATCCTTAGACTATCTCAAGACACGCTCATTGACCCTGTGATACATTTTTACAATTACAGTAACTTAATGAAATAGGCAGTTTGGATGCTCTCTCTCTCTCTCTCTCTCTCTCTCTCTCTCTCTCTCTCTCTCTCTCTCTCTCTCTCTCTCTCTCTCTCTCTCTCTCTCTCTCTCTCTCTCTCTCTCTCTCAAAGATTGTTTCGCAGTCCAGGTATCAGGAGATGCATAAACTCTGATATATTATTCCCCCGTTTGATGTGTAAACATCGCCTCAACCAGTGTTAATCGATTATGCATGTCGTCAGCCACACAGATTATAGAATAGCCGACAATCAAAGGGCTTGTCGTCCTCACACCCATGCGTTAAAACAGTGGCCCAGGAAGGAAGCCTACAGGGTGAACGGGGCATGTTCTCACCCGCCACGTAGACAGACAAGCGAGAAGAAATTGTCATCTGACTTTGATTGGGACATCCACAGTGACATCCAATCGGAATTAAGATAGAGGGTAGGATTAAATCTTAGATCCGAATTATAGCTGACAACTTTCAGAAATTATCAGTATAACAAAACAGATTAGGAGAAGTGCATCTTGCCGTTATAAGAATTAAGTATACTCCAACAGAAGCCACTGGTAATAAGGCGGGATTCAGAATTGTAAGACAAAGAAAAGCTTCTACAAGGTCAGTAAGCTATTTGCAAAACATTATGGCGTCATAATTACAAGTATTTGTAGCATGTACATTTAATTCTGGGATTGTTTTAGTATGTAGAATTACCTTATAGTGTTAATTTATAAGTGTATTTGAGACATGAATTTGAGTTTACGTAGAGAATTATGTAGATTGCTAGTTCGTCAGAGTCAATATTGTAATTCGCCGGTAGGTTACTTCGTAGCAACCAGTACCTTTAGTAATGCGTTATGTTAGAGTTTACGCAGGTTTGAATTGGAGTTTAGGAAAATGATTTATGCATGTACGATTAGTTACCATAGATGTTTGAATATATTAGCTCATGGATATTTGAATATTTGTATATTTGGCATGGGTTGTGTTGTGTTGTACCGATTGTTGTTTATTGGTTTGTGTAATGGATTTATGAGTATGTAAAGCAATTTAATGTTGTATGTATAAGAGTAATTATTACCGTGCTTTTTAGGTTGTGTTTTACCATACAAAAATGTAAACGTATTTCGGTGTGAATGAACGCGTGACCGGTGAAATTTAATAGCCTTATCTAATGATAGGCTGTGTGTAGTGTGAGATGTGAGCGCTGAGGCAAATATTGTACCATCCTTGTTTTTACTGGAAGCTTTTCGGGGATAGAACTTCCGGTGCAAGATAGTAGTACCGAATCTCTAAGCGGAATTGAAACTGACAGTGCAATCGGAGTCGACGGAGTAGTCGACGAAGAGAAGAGGGATAGAAGGAGGAGAAAGAAAGCAGTCGGGAGGAGAAAATAAAGGAGGAGAAGGAATTTGGAGGGAGTTAGGGAGGACGAGAGAGAATTAGGAAATATAGTGGAATACACAGATGAGTAGTAAACAAGGACAGATGGAAATCTCTCACACTACGTATCAAATGATGCGATTGGCTAGAAAAATGGTCGAGCGGAAGAAGTGTAGTTGGGAAATTCGAAGTATTGACCATTTAATTGTTATTAAAATTGTTATTATTTAACTTCACTCCTTTTGTATCTTCTTTAATCATTTAACCGTCGGCATTGCTGACTTGGGACTGGGAATTATATATCTGTTACTAAATAAACTTCCAACCAAAATCGATCCTGAGGGGAGGATTTCTACAATAATTTAAATGAATATTGGAAGTACCCCACCCCAATCACCCACTGCCAAAACCTCACAGTGGAGCGACCCTTTAAAAAGATAATTAACTAGACTACTTTTATAATGCAAATAGCAGCACACTTAATAAGTCGGAATCATGCGTCACTACATTCACATTTCAAAAATTGTTTTAATTTTTTTAATCTTCAATTTCACAAAGAGCAGCTGACTAATATTAACCTAAGGGTGTTTTATTTTTAAAATTTATTATACCTTGTTTATTTTTAATTAGTTTGTGAATAGTATTTGGTGTTGGGGTGTTCTTTTAAATACATTTAGAGATTGAGGTTCTGTAATCAACAATGCTGGAAAACAATCATACACTAAATGTAATACTTAATCGCAATTAAACATTTTTATTATGATATGAACATGATATTCCAAAATCTGATTTTTTTTCAGCAAAATATTTTCCAAAATTAAGATTGTGTCAAGAATAAGAGTGATCATTTTTTTAAATGTTATTTTATCAATAAAATTTTTATGTGCTATAGATAGTGCTCTAAATATATCATTTTCGCAGGATCTTATGTTCAATAGTTTCACAGGAAAAGATAGACGTCTGCAGCATGGAGGTCGAACAATAAAACTTGTTGGTCTAGTCCGTAAGAAAAAAAAGGGTTCCTAAAAGGTCTGAAAAGCAAGGTCAATAACGTTAAACCGAAGCCTCTAACTTGTCTATTTCCATATGATTAATAACTTGTACTAAACCTTTTGGGTTAGCTCAGTTTTGTTACCCCATCGTTGACGATTTTTTCTTCAAATTTTTATGCGATTTCGTTTACCTGTCGTGACACTCAAATTGTGTCGTTCACCCTCCCTGCTGCTATGAAATAACCAAAGATTTTATCTAGACCTATACGATACCCTTATCTTGGATCATATAGATTTATTGTTATAAATCCGAACGGAACAGCTTGTGCTTTTGATAAATAAAAAAAATGTTTAAATATAATCATATCCATGTCCCCTGAGAACCAAGCATAATAAATATTTTGTAAAGTATAATTATTATCTACGTCATTAAACACAACTAAAATATTACAGTTGTCTCTGATCACCTTAGGTATCTGTGTGTATCTCTGAGTAACATAAATCACGTCCGTGTTTTTATATCTACCTCGAGAAAACGTTCTAGCTAGATTAGATTGTTTATTCAGCATCACATCGTCGTATACTATGAGATTATTAATAAATCCATCTAAGTCATCTATGAATGGGGCTTCATCAATATCGGTGATAGAATCAACAATATCTGTGCCATCTTGATTCAATAATTTTGCATTTTCATTAAAATCTTTAAGTATTTCATAACATCTTTGATCGTGTATAGATGGTGTCACTAAATACAATTTGTTCCACTTCATCCACCTCATTATCAGATCAAGCAATAATTGCGTTTTACCAGATCCAGATGGATCTTTTATAATTATTCAAATGGAATTCGGAAGAGCTGGATGGTGTTTTACTGGTTCTTGCTTTCGTGTCGAAGAAAAGTCAAATATATCCATATAATAAATAATATGAGTTTATATTGTGTTTGATGCAAACTACACACGTCCACTGTTACATTGGCAACGATAACAACAACAAAAAAATAACAGACGTGTACTTACAGGTAAATACGCAAAATATGGTACACAAAATATAAATTTATTTCCGCGTCGCCAATTGCGCGTGGTAATGATATAACCGCATCATTAGGGAAATTACCAGGAGCTCAATGGGTTAAATAACCCGGTGAAAAATACCTTCAGGGATATAGTTATTGTGGTCTTGGAACTCGACTTGATGTGATGTGACCTGATTATATTTTTAACGTATCTTTAACAATTTTTCAGTCATTTCGATACGATGTCTGCAGAGTGGCAGTTTATAGTGATGTCTAACACTGGGGCATCATGCCGCAGACATGTAGCATGATGTCCCACCCAGTCACATTATCCTGACACCATGCAGACCAGTCCTAACACTAACCTCTTAATACTGAGCGTTAAGCGAAGAAGCTGTTAGTACCATTTTTGTAAGTCTTTGATATGATTCGACCGGAGATCGAACCCACGACCTACCGCATCCGAGGCGGACGCTCTAACCACTAGGCCACCGGAGCGGTCTCGACTTAATATTAAACTTGATGATCAACATCAGCTAAGACCAGGAGAGCATCCAGTAAATAAGATGAATTAAGCATGTCATGTTCGTGATGTTGCGTATAAAAGTAAAGATTTGCAACAACTGCACCTCGCAGATGTGAAATTGATTCATGCGTTAAATGCTATACGTAATAAATCTCTCAGAGAAAACTCGCTAGTTTTCTAGCAAAATCTGCTACGAAAGGTAAAATAATGCTCGGGGCTGGTAATTAATTATATAACTATTATAACAGAATAAATTTATTATCCCAAGAGAGGATATTGGAGAGGTAAAGCAGGAATCAGTGAACGTGCTGAAGTAGCAAAAGTTTCACGTAATGTTGCCGCAGTGTGGTTAGCACGACATGCAATATGGCAAATATATTTACCACCACCTAAAAAATTTCAATACGTACATTTTGATGTCAGCATCCCTAATAAAGTTCATCAAGCAGATATTTTGTTTTTACCACACGATACTGTTAAAAGACGTGCACGAAAATTACGTATGTACAAATACGCATTAACTGTTGTTGATGTTGCAAGTAGAAACAAAGAAGCTGAACCATTATCAACAAAGACAGCCTCTGAAGTTTCATCTGCGTTTAAGAAAATTTATCGACATGGTGGTCTACGATGGCCACGGCTATTGCAGGTTGATCCTGGTAAAGAATTTCTTGGTGCAGGATTATAGTTCATGAAAAAAACATAACGTTACAATCAGCCGAAGACATACTGAAATTCGTCGTGATCAAGCAATCGTTGAACGATTTAATCGAACACTTGCTGAGCGGTTTTTTGGATACCAATACGCAAAGGAAATATCTGCTGACTTTTAAGTCCGGTGAGCGATCTCGTGAATGGGTTGCAAGGTTACCAAGTGTGATATTTGCATTGTATAATGCAATTACTCGTGCAACTTCCATGAAAACTTCTATTGCAATAGCAAAAAATATATACCCCGTAGCGATAGCGGACAACGCCGTGAACAACCAGTATTAGGCAATGTAACTATGAGATATTTATACTAACCGGAGGAGCTTGGGGGTGGTAAAAAAAAGAGCAACTGATCCTATCTGGAGCGTGACCACATATACAATATCTAGCGTGGTTATATCCACTGGAAGACCTGCCATGTATAGACTAGATTCTACTGCCCCTCAACGTGGATTTGTGAGTGAACAATTACAAGTAATTCATGCACTTATATAAATTAGCACCTTTGCGTCGATTACATTAAACACAAGTCAGCATTGCATTTTCACGTGTATGACCAAAATCACTATTAATTCTATGTACAGTAAATTGTCTTGGATTATTATTCAAATATTGCCATAACATTATTGTGTTACAGCTTGCACAATGATTATCCTGTAGTTGTTTTAGTGTTATAATAAATTCAGTATCAATATCAAAGACATGCTTATTTTTTTGTCACATTGGTTTTATAACCCGCTAATGTTTTCTTTATTACAGCAGCGTCATTAGTAATTTTCTCAGTTATGACGTAATATATAATAATCCTATGTAGTTGAGTTATTCTTCTGCCACGAGATACTGCAGGATTGACCATTCAATCCCATCATCTACAATCTAGATATTTGTATCAGAGATAGTTAATCCCTGTGACAAATGAATCGATTTAGTGTATCCTAACATCCACGGTGATTTTTCCATTTTTAATGCGCTCTCAAAAACATCAGTTGAAACCAAAGCAATGTCATTCAGTACACGATTTTGTATTTTACCACCAAGAATTTCAGCTTCAATATTCTGTTGTCGAGTATCTGATGGGCGATAACACAAAAGTACAGGTAACGTTGGAAACTTTTCTTTGTTACGTAAATAATTTCTTTTGCAGTTCATCACGAATATTCTTTCTACTTTCGACTATCAAATCAACAGGCCTCCAAAATGTCCAAAGACCTTTCATGGTAGTTTCTGAAACTACTTTAAGCATTATTTCACATTGTATTTTATCTGGTTGTAGTCTGATTAATCTGGTTGTAATCTGGTTTAATCTGGTTGTAGTCTGATTAATCTTTTAAATTCTTTGACTAGTTCATCAATAGGTCTATGATCATTATTTATTTCTTCATAATAATCTACATTATTCTTTAGCCATTCATGTGGAGATTATCCAACAAATGGTGGTTGGTGGTTGACCATGATCGCCACATATAATCAAAGCAGTATTCTTTGTTAATAACCATCCAATAAATGCTTTTAGTGTTTCTAACGACACAGTGTCTATCTCGTCCCATATAATATACTTATATATATATATATATATATATATATATATATATATATATATATATATATATATATATATATATATATATATATATATATATAATTATATATATATATAATTATATATATATATATTTATATATATATATATAATTATATATAATTATATATATATATATATATATATATATATATATATATATATATATATATATATATATATATATATTTCACCCATTCGCTTAGGAGTCCCTGTGTCTCCACACCATCTAAAGAAACTATGGTATGTTCATGATTTATACCTCGTTCTTTTTTTCTCTAGCAAGTTAATGTGTAGGTATCAAAATAAATAAATCTGAATTATTATTCATAAATATGTTAATCACACGAGTTGTTTTTCTAAACCAACACATCCATTAAGATAAACAATCTTATATCTAGCCACAGGATCGTACACAGATGGTGCAGATGACTGATATTTAATCATTATTTCTTTAATATATTTCCTTAATTTTAACGTCGGCAGATTCAGAATAAATAAGTATATTTTCTTATTTTATCCTTCATATCCCCCATTCACCATTAACGAGTAGAAGTTTTAATAAATCCTTATATTTTTGTATGTATATATAATGAATCCATAACGAAACATAAGCTAACATCGAAGATCTTAAATGAGTAAATTGTGGTGAGTCACCATCAAGATAGCTCACAATGGTGCCTAGTTTTGTTCAAACTGATAGATAAGCATTACATCGGTTTATAAATGTGTTTTTCTCCGTTGTATCAGTGATTATGAACTTTAATTCAGCATCGTCCATAATCAATCTCGTACAATATCGATTATAATGGCATGAACAACCTTGAGTAAACTTACCGATCATCTTTCTACCAAGATCTTTTGCAAGTTGTTTTTATCATGCTCGTTCCTGCATTAACTTATTTTAAAGAGGTGCTCGTCTTCAAGATCAGGGAATTCTTTCCTGACAACATCGATATTAAATATATTCTGTTCTGGTAGCCAAACATGTTTCTGTGAACTATACGATATAATTGTTTCAGTTACTCTCAACGATATTAAAAATCCAGCATCAAGCATGTATCACAATAGTACTATTGGAACCCAACATTTTTCTGAAAAATGTCTTCCAAACCAAACGTAAGTAATCGCATGGAGATCTTCTTAAACACGAGTTACTCTACATAAGCAAATCCTGTCAAGTCAAAATCTGGTAAAGGGTCCGTTTATTGCAACCCTATTCATCTAATGTGAAGGATGTCTGAGTCTCTTAAAGTATTTAGATCATTTTCCATATCCAAGAAAACTCCCATAATAACATGCAGTCATATCAACTGAGATAACATCACTATACTCGTATTTAGAATTCCATAATCCACCGTGTCCATATTCTACACCACTTTTCTTGACATCTTCAAGAAATTCTAATCGTGTCAATTTCCATGAATTTTTCTCCTGAGCAAAATGGCCAGCAATAGTACGGAAAACAGTTATTCAGTAATTGTGTGACTATGACAAAAACTGTTATTCATTAACTGTCTAACTATGACACATCAGATTATATTTCAGTGCAAGATGTTCAATTTCTTCATGAAGAGATTCTGTACAATAAATATCACTGTTAGGCCAGACAGACACAGAGTCACTTTTATATTTCTGACAAAACCATATATATATATATATATATATATATATATATATATATATATATATATATATATATATATATAGATGCAATAAACTGACGACGAACAGTACGAAACTAGTAACTAACTAGCCTAAGCGCTTTCGACTCTTAATGAGTCTTTTTCAAAGGCAAATACAAAACATAGTTACGACAAACAAATAAACACAAAAACGTTGCGTTTGTAAACCTCTACATTTCTATCTTCACATGTGCTAAAACTATAAATACAACCAGCTTGTATAGACTAGTTGCGGAAACTGAAAACGTTGTATAATTCCCTAAAAGTCTACAAGCCAAAGCGACATCTATTTTTACTTTGTGTACATATGTAACGCAGATTATATCCCGGATATTTGGTTCTATACCGGTTATTCTTATAGTAAAAATTGAAGGATACGAAGATTTAGAAAATGTTAAATTCTACTAGTGCATAGTTTTCATTTTCTAGTCTTCTTGGTTTAGACCGCTTGGTTTCAATGTTCTAAGGCGGCGTATCCAGTATGATTCCTTTTCCTTCCTGGTTTCGGAACTCCAGCTGTGGTTGTTGGCAATAGCAATAAGTATTATATCACTGAAAGTGTGGCCAGAGGAGGAGAAGTGTTCTGCGACCGGGCTTCTGTACAGCTTTTTTGTCATCCAATCAGATCTATGAAGGTTTATCCTTATGTGTAGCTTTTCAGTTTCTCCCACGTACTGAAGGCCACAGATCTTACATGTGATGAGATAAATCACATTCTCTGTTTTGCACGTTTTGTTTGGACCATGTATGTTTAGTTTTTCTTTAGTCACTGTGCTAGTGAATGTCTTGGTCTCTATCATATGTTGACAGGTTTTGCATCTTTTATCGCCACAGGGTCCAGATTGACTAGGTTGGTTTTGACTAGCGATTGTTGTTAGCTTGGCCCTGACTAGGATGTCCTTTAGGTTTTTTGGTCTCCGGTAAGCTACCACAGGTTTGTTCGGAAGTATTAGGTTTAGTATGTCTGACGATTGCACGGTTGGCCAGTGGTTTGCGA